TGAATCCAGAGACTGGGTCAGAGTTAGTACTCAGTGTTAACACATTACGACAATAAACCAGTGAATCCAGAGTCTGGGTCAGAGTTAGTACTCAGTGTTAACACATAACGACAATAAACCAGTGAAATCAGAGACTGGTCAACAACAACACACTATTATAAACTTATTTCATCTTAAGTATTACATTCCTTTTAATGTTTGTTGAATTTCAACTTTGATGTATTTTTAGAGATTCCTGATCAATCTGTTTGACGTTATAGGTACTGACTATTACTGTGATTGGCTTGTATTCCCACTTATTAATATTTAAATGAATAAAATACCTTCAAATTAAATCTATCATTGTTTTAGTGTTTGATCAGTTCGTAATGCATTAACGAAATTAGTTTGGGTTCAACAAAGCTATACCTAACTGAGACCCTTAATGTTTACACAACAAAGCTATACCTCACTGAGACCCTTAATGTTAACACAACAAAACTAACCTAACTAAGACCCTTAATGTTGACACAACAAAGCTATACCTCACTGAGACCCTTCATGTTGACACAACAAAACTAACCTAACTGAGACCCTTAATGTTGACACAACAAAACTATACCTAACTGAGACCCTTAATGTTTACACAACAAAGCTTTACCTAACTGAGACCCTTAATGTTGACACAACAAAACTATACCTCACTGAGACCCTTCATGTTGACACAACAAAACTAACCTAACTGAGACCCTTAATGCTGACACAACAAAGGTATACCCAACTGAGACCCTTAATGCTGACACAACAAAGCTATACCTAACTGAGACCCTTAATGCTGACACAACAAAGCTATACCTAATTGTGACCCTTTATGATGACACAACAAAGCTATACCTACCTGAGACCCTTAATGTTGACACAACAAAGCTATACCTAACTGAGACCCTTAATGTTGACACAACAAAGCTATACTTAACTGAGACCCTTAATGATGACACAACAAATCTATACCTAACTGAGACCCGTAATGTTGACACAACAAAGCTATACCTAACTGAGACCCTTAATGTTGACACAACAAAGCTATACTTAAATGAGACCTCTAATGATGACACAACAAAACTATACCTAACTGAGACCCTTAATGTTGACACAACAAAACTATACCTTACTAAAGACCCTCAATGCTGACACTACAAAGCTATACCTAACTGAGACCCGTAATGTTGACACAACAAAGCTATACTTAACTGAGACCCTTAATGATGACACAACAAATCTATACCTAACTGAGACCCGTAATGTTGACACAACAAATCTATACCTTACTGAGACCCTTAATGTTGACACAACAAAGCTATACCTAACTGAGACCCTTAATGTTGACACAACAAAGCTATACCTAACTGAGACCCTTAATGTTGACAAGATGACGTGGATTGAAGAAGTCACAATGGCACAACGAGTGCTTTCAGTACTCGTGCCGTTAGAGTATTGAGGAGTACATTTACAGGCCAAGAAGTATCGGTTCCAACCAAGCATTGACGGTACACCACACACACCTTACGGTACACCACACACACCTGACGGTACACACCACACACACCTGACGGCACACCACACACACCTGACGGCACACCACACACACCTGATGGTACACCACACACACCTGACGCTACACCACACTCACCTGATGGTACACCACACACACCTGACGGTACACCACACACACCTTACGGTACACCACACACACCGGACGGTACACACCACACACACCTGACGGCACACCACACACCCCTGAAGGCACACCACACACCCCTGACGGTACACCACACACACCTTACGGTACACCACACACACCGGACGGTACACACCACACACACCTGACGGCACACCACACACTCCTGACGGTACACCACGCACACCTGACGGCACACCACATACACCTGACGGGACACCGCACACACCTGACCGCACGCCATACACACCTGACGGTACACCACACACCCCTGACGGTACACCACACACACCTGATGGTACACCACACACACCTGACGCTACACCACACACACCTGACGGTACACCACACACCCCTGACGGCACACCACACACTCCTGACGGTACACCACACACACCTGACGGCACACCACACACCCCTGACGGTACACCACACACACCTGACGGTACACCACACACACCTGACGGTACACCACTGATCGAAATGGTGACATTGTTGTGATTTTTTATGTGACATAACCATTTAATGAAAACGAAGTTTTTTTTTAGAGGTTATGGACTATCGACCGAAAGCAACCGAGTTCTCGAAACTTTATGGGTTTTAAAGTGCACGAAGTTTTTGGGAAATTAATAATTACTTATAAATGTATTTCAAGAAAACACGTGGTCTATTTACAAACCTGAGTTGATATGTATGTACATGTAGTTTCTCGGTCAAATTCGATACGCACGAATTTGCACCAGTAGAGTCTCTGACCACGATCTCTTATCTATAACCTTTGACCTCCGCTTAGAGATACCACTCAGAGAATTGTCCATCGTCACAGGTAAGTTAGTCAGATGTTGTGTGATTTTCCCGAAATTTGATATTTTGAGATAACACAGAAGTTAAAAAACACTGTTTACCAACAAACGGAGTCATGGATACTATCTCTAAAACCTGGATACTCTCTCTAAAACCTGGATACTATCTCTAAAACCTGGATACTCTCTCTAAAACCTGGATACTCCCTCTAAAACCTGGATACTCTCTCTAAAACCTGGATACTATCTCTAAAACCTGGATACTCTCTCTAAAACCTGGATACTATCTCTAAAACCTGGATACTCTCTCTAAAACCTGGATATATGATATACGATACATCAACATTTATACAGACTATGTATAGGTGTAATGCTTGTAATTTGCAGTCCATTCACTAGATTCCAAACTACACTATGGTTACTAGATATTTGATCTGCCATATGCTATTTGTAAACGATGTTTAACAATTTCATTAGTACTTCTTTACAGGTCTGTGTTTTCGTGTAAATCTGATTTTACGATGTTCGCCGTTATAGATTTTCCGCGAAAAATGAATCCCGCGACAATCATCTAAGGCTTCAATCTAAATGCTCTTTTCTAATCCGCGAAGAAACGATCCGACAGATACGTAGATTTATGCAAAACCGCGAAGTTTGCAGTACTTCCTAAGCTATTTTACCTTTCACGAAATACTATTTTCATCTTATTTAACCGTCACCTTTTAACATGACTTTATATTGTTATCTGTTGAGTAACCATCTGTTTTCTTTCCACTCTATTTGTAGTGTGTAATACTATTTCCCTCTGCGTTTTATAGTTCATGTTAAAATTTGTTTCCCAATCAATACTTTAGGATTCCTGCTTCAGCTCTGATGTTGGATTTCCAATTGTTCTGCCCCTACAAACAGCTGGTAGTTATAAAGGTGTGTGTTTGTCAAAGGTTCATCTCAGTAATCATTTTTGACTTTCTATACATTATGTCTTTTCTATCCACATTTAGCATGTGCTTTATTTAAGCAAGACTATTTTAACAAATGCTGTTAAACTTTAACGTCAGAAACGTAGTGTCGGCCATTATACGGCTCAAGATATGATAACGACGGGTTCGTAAATTATGACTGAATGTTAGTGAAAACAGTGAGGCGTTACAAACACGTTACCCTAGGATAAGCCTAGCCAACAAAGCTGCGTTTTACAACAAAATATTAGTACGCTACTGTATATATCCAATTTGAGTTGGATATATGAGTTAATGGCCAAAATAATGAATCGGGATAGTTGGTTTAGTATAAAGACGGGAACCATTCGTGTTCAATAGCGATAGCAACAGTCCCTCTACGTTCAAGCTTTGGGCTTTAGCCCTTAACATAGGGATGTAACATAGGGATGAAGAGTCGTCTGCTGGATAACCGAACTACTCGGTAGTGAAGCTGACGTAAAACCTATAAATCAATCAATCAATCAAGGGGTGAAGACCATTCAACTCCTTATGAAGGGCTAGGCCCGGGAGCTTGGACGTAACGTGACTATATATTTTGTTATGTTCCCTGTAGAAACTGAAATATAATTAGTGAAAGAAGTTTATTCGTATCCAGAGTTGTAAACCTCTTAGACAGCAGATGGAGCACTATCTCGAATTGGCTAGAAAGTAACGCTTTCAGCACGTACGGGTTAATATAACGTATAGGGATCTATGTAGTGATATTAACTTGTTACCTGTACTCTATGTTTGTGAGGAGGCTATTGATAAACATTTGTCAATACAAATGGTTCCTGCTATTCACAACGGTGTTTCATCCTACTGATTCACAATCTCCAGATCAGTTCCCGCTGTTGATGTCTATTAATTGGTTATTCCTATTTATACCCCTATCTACGCTGTTCTAACGCCCTTTCCTTCCCACTTTTAATTCGTGTTTAAAAGTGTTTTGCCTTTAAGTAACTGTTTAATGCTATTTTCTATCCATTTTGTGTTACTGTACTGGACTGTGACCTATGGAAACCGGTGCTTTGGGAGGCTTTCGGCCACGTTGTGGAATAGTTTACAATTTCCTATTAGAAAGTCGAATACCATGGCCAAATTCAAGAGATAAAAAGACCCACCTCTTCAAGTCTGCATTTTAGTCTCTTTGCACAGACGTCATGTACATACCACCCTTTATTTATTTATCTATTTATTTAAGTGTGCACATTGAGATGATTATTTTATTGCTTAATGTATAATGGTGATTGCAAGCCTTTTTTTGTTTAACAATTATATCTAATACTATTATCCATACGTTGTGAAGCGCTTTAGAGTAATTTTGCAAATTATATAGGGCGCTATATAAATGTTGTATATTAATAATATATCATTACTGTTTTCATCGACTTTACTGTTTCTGTTTGACGTCATTAACATTCTTACGCATTGTTGCCATTTCCTGTCTGCTTTGTGTTTTCATGCTTCTTGACGTTGGCTTCCGATCTTGTCCAAGAGATAAAAATCCTTACCTCAATTTTTCATGTCATATAATATAAGTAATACAATTTTGATTCGTTGACAGATGACGTCACACACGTACCTGTTGTTCACCGTCCTCGTTTCCCCCAGTATAGTAGGTAAATATACCTTTGACGTAATAGTGTGTTTGACACAAAGTGATAGGTTCCAAAGTGGTGAAAACAAGGAGTCCCATACTCGATCCCTTAGTTTCTCGTCTCTGCAAAACAAGTATTAATAGAAAAGTATTCTTGTGCCATATGAAACAGATGAACATTAACGAGCAATGCGCTTTATGGTGTTAAGGGTTTTAATTTGATTATAAGGCCATAAACAGATGCTGTGTGCACTTTATTCATATACCGCTCCGCAGATTCACATTGTATAAGTGGAATCATTGTTCTTAGGACTTTCTCTTCATCTTGATCATATAATTTACAGGACTTGTTTTAACATTGTTATGATTACATTATTTTCTTGGATTATGAGTATCTTCCAAATCAACGAAAATATATCCACCACGAAAATCAATGAATTCACAGTAAATGACCTCGAGAGTAGTGCAACATATGACGGTTTCTACTTTCAGACGCCTTGTTCTGTACTACGTGCCAACATGTGGACGACCCTACCACGTGTCCAGGGTTTGCTCTCTGTAACCCGGATGAGGTTAAGTAGCACCTAATATTAACATCAACTGTTTAACCCTTTCACCACTGTAGACCATAATGGACTCATCCATATCAATACATGGTAGAGTCTACTCAAGTTACATAAGGGTGAAAGGGTTAAGGACTAGTGCAGCTTAAACACTTAATGCATGGTATAACTGTACACTTCAACTGCTGGATATATTATTTGAAAATCAACACCAGTGACAACAGTCTGTATTCCGTCTTTGCGTATTGCAGAGTTATCTTCTCTTGTGAGCAGGTATTGATTGTTACGTCATTGGTTTGTGTGAGAAAATTACGTCGTTTTCTCAAAAAATGATGACGCTACTCTCACAAACAAATGACGTAACAAGCAATACCTGCTCACAAGAGAAGATTACTCTGCAATACGAAAAGACGGAATTCATGGGTACATGATTATAAAGGCTACAAAAAGTATAATGACCTATACAAGTAAGAATTATCATACCCCTGGGAACTTTCACAAGCACATCCGGTGACAATAAAGAGACATAACCCCCACTTATTATCGCTGCGCAAATCCTCATATAGATATGAAAATATTTTCAAACAATATCTTCTGCGAAAAACTTCATTCATTTAGAAATGTTACATCCGTTTCTCATTAATAATCATCGGTAACCTATATGTGCAGTAATTAACTGCATCTTATTTTAGATAGGAACTACACACGTATGAAACTCTTGCGTATTGGCTTATTTTGTTGCACGAGTCCTTAACAGGGAATAATCTGGGGTATAATGTTTCAATATTTCACTTTGACATGCTTTTCCGTTGATACATGGTTTTGCGGTCGGCAGTTCCAACATAACTTGAGTCTGTAAAGACGTACTTCTATTCGTGCATCGGTCTCGTCGTTGTATTTCTCTTTCTCCTTGGTTAGAGCGGCAGTCTAGAGTTCGGAGGTCCCGAGTTTGAACCTCGGTCTAGAGTTCGGGGGTCCCGGGATTGAACCTCGGTCTAGTGTTCGGGGGTCCCGAGATTGAACCTCGGTCTAGAGTTCGGGGGTCCCGAGATTGAACCTCGGTCTAGTGTTCGGAGGTCCCGATATTGTCAACACTCAAAAACCCATTGTCACCCTCAGCTTCGCCTCTGGTGACAATGGTTTTCTCGGGTTGACAATATTCACTATCACCTGCTAATGAATGTCATATTTATATACTGTTCCGTATTTATTCACTGCATTGAAGATGCACTTTATCAATGGGAGAGTTTATGATATTTCGTTAGTAAAATGTAATAAACACAGATATCGCAGTGGTTAACTATCATATTTTTGTAGATAGTATGTGGCCTCAATTTCCCAGAAGGTTTTACTGCATGAGGAAGCACTGGAAGTGTTAACAGATCAAACCCGTGCGGCGCTTCGAACTGCTTACGTTTGAAAAAAAACACCTCTGTAGCGTGACAATCTTTGATCAATCTGATGACCCTACTAAAATCGTAAAATCAATAGCGAATATTTGTTTTGAATTTTCTGTCGAATGTATTTGATGATTAATAATTTGTTACGGTTTCACTAACGACAATATGGTGATGATCGGTTGTAGGTCTGTAGTGCGTTGTCTTATATGGATGAACACTCGCAGCTGAAACACACACTCGGATGTAAATCGGCCGCAGTAAGTATTTGTTACTTCTTCTTATTGTTCTATTTCAAAAACAACCTGACTGTTGTAAATATGTCCGATTTTAACATTCTTTTCATTACCCATTCTTATTTATTGACGTGCAAAAACCAGCCTCAATGCATGATATGTCACGAACAGAAAGACATCACTTACTATAGTAACTTCTAATAATCCAGTTGACGTTTGTTTTAAACCTCTATATTGGTCTGATGACATTTTGTGACAAAATGAACTTTACCAATATGGTTGATTTAATCAATTAATGGGCTTTATTTAATTAAAAGATGTAAACAAACCTGTGAAATATTTTGACCGGGGGAAACGACCGTGAATCGGGTAGATTATCGGTCACGTTAGTTACATAATTATGACAGGGAATTGACAGCGCATCGTGTATACGTGTACCAAGTGGTCATGTATGTATGTACCCGAAAGTTTGTTATGACAGGTTTGTCGATCTAATGATATATGATGGCTGCAGCCAATGTTGTAAGCTTTGTACTGGAGAGGTATTTAATGGGGTGCATCCCCTTATCAGGGAGTCGGGAATTGGCCATGAGAAGGGACAAGTCAATTTGGACCCAGGTTCAGAGAGACAGAGTATGGGGAGTGTGGCCATGGTTTGGCACAGGCCTAGTTACTTAGCTCGAAGTCAGTGACACAACGTGAAATACTACCATACGTTGATGAGCTGTTGTAACCACCTGTACATGTACCTTTAATGAGATTGTTGATTCACGTCTATGAATAAACATTACTATTATCAACTGTTACGTGTGTTTACGGTTGCTGTGTTACAATTTGCTTGACATGCTCATATATCATGTATTGGTCCTAATAACCCCTTCTGTGCTTGTAGGCAGTTAAGCATGCAATGATTATCATCACTATTATTTACATTTGATAAAGTCACATAGCGAATACAAATAGCTGATTTTGAGTAATCGGGTGGCGCTGTGGATAGCGCACTTGCCTTTCACCAAGGCGGCCGAGGTTCGAGTATCAGATCGGACGTGAAATGGCACGGGGTAACCTGCCCGACTACGTTTGTTTTCTCCTGGTACTCCGGTTTCCTCCCACATTAAGACCCCCGCGCGCTAACATCAAGGCCAACAAGAGTACAAAAGTTGTTTCATATTTTTTTTTAAATGAATAAGTTTATATTTATAATTACCAACAGCTGTACTTATGCCCGATTTCAATTTCATGATACAAATCGGGGCACTGACAAAAATCCAAGATACGAAATGTGATATACTTCATAATATACGATAATGCCACACTGGAATTCAATGTATTACTCATGATGGTCGGGTGGCACAATGGCTAGAGCACTCGCCTTTGCAAGGGCCGGACCTCGATTTCCCGTTCGGACGAAATACTTTGGGTCATGTTTTCATCTGTTTTCAAAAATACTCCAACACCCTCCCAACTTAAGACCCCCTTATCGCTTTCAGCCGGGTCAATTGGAGAGATCAATATAAGATTAGAGACTTGGCTAATAGTTGTTGTTATATAATGGACTATTGAGTCGGGCCTAAGAGCGTCGGACATTGTTTATTTTGTTCTTAGGAGTATACCCGCTAATTATTTTTTCGCTTTTTGCGCTCATCGTAATTCCTTTACCGCACAAGGCTGTTATGGTGACGAGTGTGACCCCCTATTTGTAAACATCTCCCCGGTATGTTAATAAGCAGAGTACGTTCGAAATTATGGCGAAAAACCCTGAATATTTTTTCAAGAGTTTTGTGAAAGCACAGGCAAGATAAAGCTGATATTTGTGCATAAGATGTAAATTGTGACTCGTTTTCTCTCCGTTTTATAAGAGCAATATATCAGTGTGATGTACAAGTAAAAACACCAACTGTGCATTGGTTTTTGCAGGAAACCCCCCACTTTAGTCAAGAAAATAAATGTAATGATATCAAATGATGTTAAACTACACTAGAGACTAAGTTATACTGACGCTGTTTTGTCTGAAACCCAATCTATCATACACTGGAGACATTTATTGTTATAGAAATAAAATAAAACATGCTACCGATCACATTACAGACATTGTCAGTCAGTAATCATTTTCATCCTGATGTCCTGCCTGTTAATTGTTTATACAAACCATGCCCTGACATAGTTTACCACCGTATCTTTATATTTGCACTGCTGTTCCTCTTTTGAACCCTATGGGTATACTACGTTAAACCGAAATGAGTAGTAATAGGAAAGAGACCAAAAAGACAACTAACAATACAGATGTCACGTTTGACTCTCGTTTGGATTTTTCGGGCGAGAAGTTAACTATTCGAACCATGAATAATGAAAGCAATAATATTTAACTATATTATAACACGCCGTGAGAGTAGGCAACCCTGTTATATATGTTTTAACGCAGTTCGTGTCATTTTCCTGTAATGCGATGAGTATTCTTATTGCCTATAAACCGTAACTGAAAGCAATTCAATGTTTAAATAGGAACATCGCCGTTTGCTTTTCATCAACATTTAATTTCCCACATAATGGAAGAAGTTCTTCCAGTAAAACTAATACACAATTTCTACTGTAACAGTCATGTGGAACAACCAATGGGATCGGAGCAGTGATAGGACGACGTCATCTTGGGAATAACAGACGATCTAATGAACATGAAAGATGTTGTTCAACCACGATGTGCAATCTAAGCCTATTTACTGGTAATATAACAAACATGAGCAGGAAAATATCCGGTATTTTCTCACTAAACTTCAGTGGTCAGCTGTTCTCACTAACCTTCCGTGGTCTGCTGTTCTCACTAACCTTCCGTGGTCAGCTGTTCTCACTAACCTTCAGTGGTCAGCTGTTCTCACTAACCTTCAGTGGTCAACTGTTCTCACTAACCTTCAGTGGTCAGCTGTTCTCACTAACCTTCAGTAGTCAGCTATTCTCACTAACCTTCAGTGGTCTATTGTTCTCACTAACCTTCCGTGGTCAGCTGTTCTCACTAAACTTCAGTGGTCTGCTGTTCACACTTATCTTCAGTGGTCAGCTGTTATCACTAACCTTCAGTGGTCAGCTGTTCTCACTAACCTTCAGTGGTCAGCTGTTCTCACTAACCTTCAGTGGTCTGCTGTTCTCACTAACCTTCAGTAGTCAGCTATTCTCACTAACCTTCAGTGGTCTATTGTTCTCACTAACCTTCCGTGGTCTATTGTTCTCACTAACCTTCAGTGGTCAGCTGTTCTCACTAACCTTCAGTGGTCAGCTATTCTCACTAACCTTCAGTGGTCTATTGTTCTCACTAACCTTCCGTGGTCTATTGTTCTCACTAACCTTCAGTGGTCAGCTATTCTCACTAACCTTCAGTGGTCTATTGTTCTCACTAACCTTCCGTGGTCTATTGTTCTCACTAACCTTCAGTGGTCAGCTATTCTCACTAACCTTCAGTGGTCTCTTGTTCTCACTAACCTTCCGTGGTCAGCTGTTCTTACTAAACTTCAGTGGTCTGCTGTTCTCACTAACCTTCAGTGGTCAGCTGTTCTCACTAAACTTCAGTGGTCTGCTGTTCTCACTAACCTTCTGTGGTCTGCTGTTCTCACTAACCTTCGGTGGTCTGCTGTTCTCATTAACCTTTAGTGGTCTGCTGTTCTCACTAACCTTCAGTGGTCAGCTGTTCTCACTAAACTTCAGTGTTCTGCTGTTCGCACTAACCTTCTGTGGTCTGCTGTTCTCACTAACCTTCAGTGGTCAGCTATTCTCACTAACCTTCAGTGGTCTATTGTTCTCACTAACCGTCAGTGGTCAGCTGGCTACCAAATATTGGCTCACTGCCAAAATATTTTGAAATCTGTACATATGTGAACTTCATAATTCATATTATGTTGGCACACAGCTGATTACTATTTAACTTAGGGTAGTCTGGTGGCGCAGTGGATAGAGCCAAAACAATGTGTGATAGAGTGTCTATTCTATTTACATATGATAATTTACATTTAAATAATTTGTGTAAATATATCAGATATCAGGTTTTACAACCCCGTCGTTTGCTTTTTTTTTTTTTTAATTTTTGTATACTTTAAATGTTGCATATATTAGTTCAAAATAAAAATAAGTTGCATCCATTTAAGCTTGAGTTTGTCGATTCAAACAGCCAAAAACGTATGCATTTAAATGTACCATATGTTAGTTTCTTTCATTATGGACTCACCAATGATACTAAAGATAAGAAAGATGGACAAATGTTTAATTTTTAGAAATAAAGGATTGTGACCATAAAACCCTTTATAAATATACAATATTTACAACTTTTGGCCGCCACAGATCTAGATCATTTCTCCTAATATAACATGTTATCCGTGCCAGAAGAAATAATATCATTTTAAAAATTCTGTGTAAGATATGGATATATTCAAGCTTCCTCTACTAACTGAATGCCTGTCAGGCTGTTATTTAGATAGGAGTGGCATAATTTAACATTGATAATTATTTTTAAAGGCAATTGTTTTGTTACTTTGAAAAATCAAAGCATCTTGTTTTGTTAAGTTTGAGCAATATTTCGCTTTGATGACACGTTCCAGCTTTTATGTTTCAAAGGATCAACATCAACCGTATCCACGGGGACCACGGAAAAGACCACTACAGCATTAGCTGTCGGTATGCCACCTTCTCCTGCTCCTCCAGCTCCTCTTATTCCTTTTCCTTCTTCTCCAGCTCCTCTTCTTCCTTTCCCCATTCCTTCTGCTCCTCTTCTTCCTTTCCCTACTCCTCCAGCTCCTCTTCCTCCTTTTCCTTCTTCTCCAGCTTCTCTTCTTCCTTTCTCTCCTCCTTCTGCTCCTCTTCTTCATTTCCCTACTCCTCCAACTCCTCTTCTTCTTTTCCCTACTCCTCCAGCTCCTCTTCTCCCTTTCCCTACTCCTTCTGCTCCTCTTCTTCCTTTCCCTACTCCTTCTGCTTCTCTTCTTCCTTTTCCTTCTTCTCCAGCTCCACTTCTTCCTTTCCCTACTCCTTCTGTTCCTCTTCTTCCTTTTCCTACTCCTTCTGCTCCTCTTCTTCCTTTTCCCTACTCCTTCTGCTCCTCTTCTTCCTTTTCCTACTCCTTCTACTCCTCTTCTTCCTTTCCCTACTCCTTCTGCTCCTCTTCTTCCTTTCCCTACTCCTCCATCTCCTCTTCCTCCTTTCCCTATTCTTTCTGCTCCTCTTCTTTCTTTCCCTACTCCTCCATCTCCTTTTCCTCCTTTCCCTACTCCTCCAGCTCCTCTTCTTCCTTTCCCTACACCTTCCGCTCCCCTTCTTCCTTTCCCTACTCCTCCAGCTCCTCTTCTTCCTTTCCCTACTCCTCCATCTCCTTTTCCTCCTTTCCCTACTCCTTCTGCTCCTCTTCTTTCTTTCCCTACTCCTCCAGCTCCTCTTCTTCCTTTCCCTACTCCTCCATCTCCTTTTCCTCCTTTCCCTACTCCTTCTGCTCCTCTTCTTCCTTTCCCTACTCCTCCAGCTCCTCTTCTTCCTTTCCCTACTCCTCCATCTCCTTTTCCTCCTTTCCCTACTCCTTCTGCTCCTCTTCTTCCTTTCCCTACTCCTTCTGCTTCTCTTCTTCCTTTCCCTACTCCTCCAGCTCTTCTTTCTCCTTTCCCTAATCCTTCTGCTCCTCTTCCTCCTTTCCCTACTCCCTTTGCTCCTTTTCCTCCTTTCCCTACTCCTTCTACTCCTCTTCTTCCTTTCCCTACTCCTTTTGCTCCTCTTCTTCCTTTCCCTACTCC